AAGATGCGATCTAATCCTGTTTACATGAAATAAGCTGCTCCCGAGCAGGTTTAAGCTTACGGACCTGTTGCTATGACAGCAACTCCGGGATGAGCTTCGAAGAACCAAAAAATCCAAGATCATGCCAAATCGTCAACAATCAAATCCAGCTAACTGAGTTAGCAACGTACGAAGAACAGGCCCCTGTTCTGCCTGCTATTCTAAAGAAAAATCTTAATCATCAGTGAATGTTTGCAGTTTTTGATCATCCAGGTGACAACACACAGTATTAAGAATCAGTTTTAAGAATTAAAAATCAAGCATGTAAATTTTTTTACTTGATTATTTAGTCTTGTGGTTTGTATGCACACATATTGATTAAACCAAACACCTATAATTCATGAAGTGAATAAAGTCTGATCAACCACAGTAAAATAATGCTGCCACACCAAGTTTTCGAAATGCCCGAATTAGAATTTGTTTTTATTCTGTTTCTCTGTTCTGTTCAGGGGCCCGTTCTTCGTACATGGATTACTCAGTTAGCTGGATTTCATTGTTGGTGATTTGACATGATCCAGGATTGTTCGGTTCTTCGAAGCTCATCCCGGAGTTGCTGTCATAGCACAGGGGCCCGTTCTTCGTACGTCGCTTATTACATCCGAGATGAAATGTCACATCCAAGATGATATCATCGCGCTAATCAGAATCTGGCTAATTCGGTTCTTCGAACGCACCTGTTGTTGATGATTAGTATGGCTGGATTTATTTCAATGTATTAATTAGCAATTCATTTAATTTTATATTTGAACAGATTTGTTACGTGACAGCATTAATTAAAGTTTCTTAAGGGTCAAGATCATGTTATCTGCATCTCCTGCGCTCCATCTGTCACCACTCAAATTAATAAACGAGTCTACATTATCTGTATAGCATGTGTGTAAGACTCGAATACAATTAAGAAGTAATAATTTTATGACGAATATGAGCTCAAACCTGCACAGGAGCAGGCTTATTTCACGTAAATAGGATTAGATTGTGTCATTTTAAGTAAAGGTGATAGTGAACATCTGTCCCAGCCACTGCTATATTCTTACAAGAGCACCATATGAACCAGGAACATTTATTTATAAAAATAATAATTAAAAAAAAAAAACAATTATAAAATTATTTTGAAAATAATTAAAATGTTGTGTTTTAAAATGTAAACAATCCTCGTCTACACTTGCGTTTTCACTGTGTTTCAGAAACGTTCTCCGTCCACACTACACAACCGAAAACGCATGTCACATGACCATTCATGCAGGTACAACCATAGATATGTATAGGTAGATTCCCCATTCGACTGCGTCAAGCATGTAACGCGTCCGCCATCTTTAACGGTTGACTTGACGTCATTCACCATAATAATCAATGAATATTCGAAGATGCCACAATCCTGCACAGCCGATAGTTGTAAAAACTGCCAGGATTTAAATTCCCGAAGAAACGGGATAAGCTTTCACAGGTGAGAATGTGTTAGTTTGTGTTATTAAATGTATTAACTCAATATTACAAGTTTTGAAACATTGTGAATGACTTCAAGTTTAACTTACCCTTTGAATATGGCGGACGGCTTACGTATAGCGGCCCATAGAAACAGTCGCTAATGAGGCATCTACCTATACAAATCTATGGGTACAACCATAGATATGTATAGATATCTATGGGTACAACAAAAACAGAGACACAATCACATCAACGAGTATGATGTTATTGTTTACATTGTCGTCAAGGATACGCAGAGCGAATGTGAGCAGCCATGCCATCGTTTTTAAAAGTCTCTGTTTGGGTGCGTTTACACTGAAACGCAACCCCCGAGTTTTCAAACTAAAACGGGGTCTGTTGCATTTTCAAAAGTCTCCATTTTCGAGGGTCGAAAACTCCGGTGTAGTGTAAATGACAGGCATAACAGTAGCAAAAGTTATGCATTTTAAAATGAAAACTCACTAGCGTAAACATAGCCTTAGGCTACGTCCACATGAAGTCAGAGCTTTCCCAATCCGATCTTTTTTTCCCCTCGTCTCAAGAAATATCTGCGTCCACACGAAACCGACACAAAACGATGTAGTATACATGCCAGACCAGTATGTGGCACTGTAATTCTGCCACAGAGATACACTAAAAACGGAGAAGAAGACTTGGACTATGCGCATAAACCTTGCGCACGGTATACAAACGAACATGGAACAATGTATTTATTAATCTGTGTTAATGTTAGTTAATAAAAAGACAATCGTTCAGTGTTTGTTCATGTTTTTGTTGCTGTTACGTGACGTAGCGGTGTCTGACTAGGGGTGAGACGTGGGCTGATTACGCCATCGTTTCAGAAATTATACGGATTCGCTGTCCACACGAAAACGCAAGGGCGGCGTTTTCAGATTTAACCACTCTGGGACCCGGTTTCAAAAAATTTTGATTAGGTTGCTCAGTTCAAGTGTGTTTAGTTAGGTTCTCCCTTTGTTTTTTTCTGTCTATTTATGCCCTGTGGCTCTTTCAGTTCATTTTCAGTTCTACATCGCGTTAAGCTGGTTGTTTTGTTTCTGTTCTGGAGTTTTATGTTAGTTTCTGAATAAAGACTGCTGCATACAGATCCTGCTTCCTCTCTGCTGCAACCAGCGGTGACAGAAGAACTGACCCAAAAGATGGATCTACCGGCAGTCCAACTATTGTGTTTGGACCAGGAAGAGCAGTCCCTCGAGGCCCACACTAGGAGGTTTCAACAACTGGCATGCCTCACTCACTTCCCAGACCGATCGCTGTGTATTTTCTACCTGACCAGCTCCCGAGACCGTTCCAGTGAGTGCAATTCCTGAGCCTGTTCCAGTGTCGGTTCCAGCCCCTGAGTCCGCTCCAGATAAGTCTCCAGAGTTCCCTCCAGCCCTAGAGCTTGGCCCAGAGAGCACTGGACTATCCATCATGGCTATAGTGTTGTGTTTCTGGGCCACACACACCTCGGCTCCAGCCCCTGACCAGAGTCCAGTAATGGCTCCATATAAGTCCCCGATGATAGTGGCCGAGCCTAGCGTCAAGGCCATGGAGACCAATCCTCCCTTGCCCCCTGAACTGCCGGTGCCGCCCTGTTCCTGTTCTGGAGTTTTATGTTAGTTTCTGAGTAAAGACTGCTGCATACGGATCCTGTTTCCTCTCTACTGCAACCAACGGTGACAAATGTAGGCTAAAATACTGGTAAATAAAGCAAAATATTTACAAACATTATAAACACAGCAATAGGCTATTTTAGTTCCCTTCTCTTCACAGCAAATCCTCTAAAGTTAACAGTATTTATGCTATAAACGTCAAGCCAAAACGAATGAATTTATAGCAAAACTGCACTTACCTCTCTCCTTCGGCACAAATCCAAATGTTTCCATATTCGCAACGTATGTGGATGCTAAAATATTATTTATTATGTAAACTATAGGCTTTGTACTTCACTCGAATTATCGACGTAAAACATAACAGTACAGTGAGGCGGTGGTCACTCTGAATGGCACATATTGTACTGCGGACTATTTAAAGTGAGCAGTGTAACTTTTTATGTTTCTTCAACTGTTTTATTTTGATAATGAACAGGCTGATGTCAAGTTATCAAAAATATGTTGTGTGCGTGTCACCGGCGCAATCACCCTTAAGGGCCTGTTTACACCTGCATGGTCACTTCATGCATTTACTTTGATCAGATAGCTATCCGATCGCTCAAACCACTTCAGGAGGTGGTCTGGGATGCATTCAGACAAAACTGGACAAATGTAAATGCATCTGTTGTTGAAACCACATATTAGTCCTCCCAAAATGTAAAAATAATAAACTTGTGAGAGTGTGTTATAGGCTATATGACATGCCATAGCCAGATATGACAGCGCTAATGCAACACACATCGCCGCAGATGAGTAGCCTATCTCTTCAGCAAGCTGATGCGCAAACTGCCGCAAAAGAAACTGAAAGTAGCCTAAGTCGCAGACTCTCAACAATCATCATCATTAAAAGTAGTAAGACCAGTATTGGGTAAGTTACTTTCAAAAAGTAATTAATTACTAATTACATCATCAATATTGTACTTAAATTGCTTTTCTAATTACTCTGTCTGAAAAGTAATTTAATTACTCAATAAGTAACTTAATTATTCAAATCGTTAATTACATCTTAAAATCCTTATAAACCTTAAAGAAAATCTGACTTTTTAAGTGGTCCCCGGTGCATCTACCAACCAAGGAAACGTGAAAAAGATTAACCCAGTATCTTTGTTTTGGTAAGCCTTTTTCTGCAAGCATCTGAGAAAACGAGCGAGTCTGATTTCACTCCCTTGGTGACGTTGCAAAGGGATCTCATTATAATATTACCGCCCCTTAATCTGTAAGTTTCCACCCACGGCACCTTCATTTGATTTCGCAAGCGACAACGGTGTAGCTCAGTGGTTCCTGAATATACTGTGAACTTAATGTAATGTTTTTGGACATTGTATGTTACAATTAAATAAATGTATTATAGTTTAAATTTATTTCTAATTCAATTAGCTGAACTCAGGAGTGCTTTTTTGACCCACTGAAGTACATCATTATATATAATTAAATAATTAAGCACAATTAGCACACTTCTTTTTTCACAAGGCAAAGCAAATAAACCACAGTTTACAACATTTTAACATGGTTTTAAAAGGCATGATCACAGTACAGGCAGCACACATTCGCTAAGCCTGTTTTACATTTGTTATATTTATGTTTTTGTTTTTTTAATTGCTTTACACGAGTTGCGACGAGTGCCCTGACCTGTGGTGTGTATTCTGTTCTTTCTGCTTATTTTTACCATTTTGGTTGATGATGCATTAGAGTTTATGACTAAATGATAAAACATTATAGTATATAATAACCTTTTTTGCATCCAAGAGACTGTAAAAAGTTGAATTGATGTTTTCAGATGATGGGACTGTCATACGCATTCACAGCGCTAACTACGGCCGAACTGACAGCAGCACGTGCTCTACTGGACGACCTGCTTCTCAGCTTGCCAAAACTGACTGCTATGCCTTAAATTCACAGACAGTAGTCACTAGTGGGTCAGTTTACACACTCAATGTATACATTTTCACATTCAGTCTTTGCCTTGCTGAAAAAACAACAGCAACCTAAACCACGCTGGGAGACCAGCTAAGACTAACGTAGTCTAAGTGTTTTCCCCAGCAGGGTAATCAAATTACTTTAATAATACCAATAAAATCATTTTTTATTAAGTTTTTGTTTCATTAATTTATATTTTATCATTGTGTAGATGTGAAGAGAAAAACAGCTGCTCCATATTGGCCTCCAACAGTGTCTTCTCGGACCCATGTGTCGGCACAATCAAGTACCTGTACATCTCATACTCCTGCGTGTCTAAGTGTAAGTGTGACTGTACAGAGCAATGATACTGCATATGTGTGCTAGTTTTCTAATGCGTTGATTAGTTTTGTTTTGGTTTTTACTCATGAACTCACTCATCAGTCTGGACTGATAATAGCTCATTACTGTTGATGTTTGTGTTTGCAGAGAATGACAGCTAATCTTGTGGATTTGGCCTCTTCAGTTCTCTATCAGCATCTCTTCTATTTTAAATGCGCTGAAACTAAATCTATTTCTTCATTGTTAACGCATCTAATATTATATGGTATTTGCTGTCTTTCCTCTTGTAAATATATGGCCAAAAAGGTAATGGTAGAATACTAGTATGCTAATCTGAAATCAGTCTTTGTGTCTGGATGAAATCAGTGGCTTTGATTCTCATACGATTAATTTTTCAATAGGCCTTGCTTATACACTATGTTGTGGGATTTTCCTTACAATAAATGCTTTTCAAATGAGAATGAGGTGAGTGTGTCTTGTTCTTAAAAGCATGTTGATTGTAAACACCAGCTTTACCTTATCATCATTTACCAAGTGTTAGGGAAAAGAAAGGGTGCACATTTGTTCATTTACATATTACTGACATTGTAACAATGCAATGCTGGTTATCCCTATCCTTTAAGAAGCACAGTGAAGTCTATTATTAAGAAGTGGAAGGTATTTGGTACAACACAGTCCCTCACTGGATCAGGACGTCACGCCAAACTGGATGAAAGAGTCAGGAGGAAACTGGTCAGAGAGAAGACCAAGAGGCCTACAGCAAATCTGAAGCAGTTACAGGAATTTATGACAAAGAGTGATCATTGTGTGCATGTGACAACAATATCACAAATTCTCCACAAATGTGGCTTGTATGGGAGAGCTGCAAAAAAAAAAGCCACTCCTCAAGAAAGGCCACATGCAGTCACGACTGAGCTTTGCCAAAACGCACCGTGAAGATTCTGAGGCCGATGAGACTAAAATTGAATTTTTTGGCTAAAAACACCAAACAATATATCCGACGGAAATCCAATACAGTTCACCATCCAAATAACAGCATTCCTCCAGTAAAGCATGGAGGTGGTAATGTCCTGTTATGGGGTGTTTCTCTGCAGCAGGGAACTGGAGCACTTGTCAGGACAGAAGGAAAAATGGATGGGGCAAAATACTGTCAAATTCTTGAGGAAAATCTGCTGCCCTCTTCCAGAAAGTTGTCAATGTGAAGAAGGTTTACCTTCCAACATGACAATAACCCAAAGCACACAGCTAAACTGAGCACACAGTGGTTGAAGGAGAAAAAGTGAATGTCCTTGCATGGCCTAGTCAGAGCCCAGACTTAAACCCCACTGAAAATCTGTGGAATGACTTGAAGACACAAACACTCACCATCACATTTAACTGAACTTGAGCAGTTCTGAAATTAAGAGTGAGCAAATATTGCAAAGTTTAGATGTGCTATGTTAGTAGAGACAACATATCCCAACAGACTCAAGGCTGTAATTAAAGCAAAAGGTGGTTCAACAAAATACTGACACAAGGGGGTGATCTTTTTTCCAACTCACTGATTCAGTTTTTTCTCTCTCTGACATGTTGGATGTTATAAATTGTAAATACAGCTGGATAAAACAAAAACTGTGTCCGTCTTCATTTCAACAAAATGTGATTATTTTAAAGGGGGGGGCGGGGTGATTCTTTTATATACCCACTGTACCTGGTGGTAAAAAATTGGGACTTCTTAAACATGTCATTCCTACCTCATATGGTAAAAACCATGTTTTAGCTCTTTTGATTAATATGGCCCATAAGGTATTATTAACATAGTATGTCATATCAGAAACTATCCTAGATAGCTCTTTTGATTAATATGGCCCATAAGGTATTATTAACATAGTATGTCATAGCAGAAACTATCCTACATTTGGGGCTTTGTTTGCAAGAGAACATTAACTGAACTTTAACTTTAAACTGGTTTTACTCATTCAAGTTAATACCATTTAAATAATTCAGAATAAATCAGTGTCCTCTTCGAAATTAATGTTTAAAAATGTCACTGCTTGTGTTTATGAATATGACATTCATTAAAATACAGCTTAAGCAGCACAGAATTGAACACAAGAAAGCAGAGAAGTTAGACTTACTCTGTATTTGGTGAAAACAAACTGCCAGTTTAATAACCATACAATAAAACCTGTAAATACCGATGAATTATACAAAAAAAAAATGATTGTAACAAAAAAAAACAAAAAAAACAAAGAGGATGAAAAACACACAACCAGCTAAAGTGGAACAAAGGGAATTATCAGGAAGGACGATTAGAGTTCACAACCCCCGATCCCCAATACACTCACTCTCACATTCAAACACACACACACACTGTTAGCAGCACACACAATCTTACAGTCACTCAGACACGCATAAAGGACAGGGTTTGATAATCAGTACATGTTAAATTCACAAACAAAATGACTGGACCTGCTATAATGTCAGCATGTCACCCTGTGAGCCATCCCCACCCACCTCCCAGCCACGGGGGCTTCGCTGAGCGTCTTCCTGTGGGTGGTGATCATCACTCAGAAGGTACAGGGGAGCGAGACGGGAACTGGATTGAGGGGGGTGGGTGCTGTAGGGTGGAATGAGGTGGGAGGGTTGGTGGAAGCCATTTGTGTATTTAAGGTGGATGTGTGTAGGTGTTTGGAAATCAGTGCTGCTCCCCTAGTTCTCATTGTCGCCTGCTTCGTCACCCTGGTTTTCTGATGTCCAAAGCTGCATGTATGAGAATGAATATAATATAAGCCAATTAAGCACTTAAACAGAAATATAACTGGTGCAGAATGTATAATGGAGGACTTACAGTGAGGTTGTCCCTTAGAAGCTGCATGATCAAGGTGCTGTCTTTGTAGGAGTCCTCATTTAAAGTGTCAAGCTCAGCAATGGCTTCATCAAAAGCCTGTAACAGAGGCACTGGTTTCTCATTTGGGCTGAGCATGAAATACACTGGTGCTTATATTTGATTTGGCTCAAACAATGTTCACTGTAGTCAAAGAAATAAAATACAAATTCATATGATGAAGCGTAAGAGGCTGTTCACATAGGACACAATCTAGTTTTTTTTTTTTTTTTTTTTTACGCACTAGATGGATATCTTTGGCGACTGTACTGTCTCTCACTACATGGCAAGTTAAAAACAGTTCAACTGCTATAATGGGTCTCTGTCCAAATTTTATTAAATGCAAGAACTCGTCCTGTGTGAACGGCCCCTTATGCTGCTAGCATTTAAAGATACCAACCGTTTTAGCGAGGTGACAGGCATTCTCAGGAGAGTTGAGGATCTCGTAGTAAAAAACGGAAAAGTTGAGGGCAAGACCCAACCGTATAGGGTGTGTGGGCTGCATTTCCTTCTTACTTATCTCAAAAGCATCTTGGTAAGCCTTCTGAGAGTTCTCAACCGTGGCTGAAAGAACAAAAAGTTGATATGTTGATTATATTAAAAAAAAGCCAAATATATAATTAATTTAATATACTTATGTCACCGATCGTCGGACAAATAGATAATAGTGATGCAGTGAAATGAATGTTTTACAGAAAACAAAAAGAAAGTTCTTATTTAATCAAAAACCAAAACTGAATATGAAGTTCCTTGAATTCACTTTAGGTAACTGAACTCATTATGCTGTTAAGGGTGTAAAGTTCTTCAGCAACAAGCCACTTCTCAATGTTTCAGCCGAACAAATTTTACATAGTGCTACTCTAGAATCATTTTTGGTCACACTGAAGTGTATCCAAACTGCTGACGTCTTCAGCTGTTGTAGCTTTTTCACAGCATGTTAATGAAATAGATGCTAAAACAGTCAAAACGCACCTTTGGAGAAGTGCTAATTAAACTTCACTGTGATCTATGATTTCAGTTCTCTAAAAGTATTACGCCGGAAACCTTTTTTTTTTTCTGTTTTGGCCAAATATTTTTAGTTTCCAAAATTTTGGTGTATCACTCAATAGATGGATAGATAGATAGATAGATAGATAAATGACAGACCGAGAGACGGATAGATAGAACAATATAATAATAGACAGAATGATAAACAGAAAGAACAACAGACAGATAGAGATAGAACAGTGTTTCACACAGACCTACACTCTATTTGTGGCGGAACGTCCCCCAATGGATGGTGGGGAAATGTTTTTTTGTTTTGTATTATAATACTAAAAAAAAATGCTCCAATACAAATATTTTAAATTGCGAAGAACTTTATTTACATAATTAAACATCTCCCCCACACAACAACTCTACTTTTTATAGCACATTTAACATTATTTGTTTGAACATGCCATTTTACAGGCTTTCTGAAAAAATATTCTTGGAAAATATTTTTCAATATTCATCTAGATTGAAGGAGCAGACACGGAGCATCATTGTTAAAGTAGTTAACATTACAGTTAGGGCTGGACCAGAATATTCGATTATTCGAATATTCGTTCGGTGGGTTGGCATTCGATTCTCAATTTTGAGATTAAAATTTTTTTTTTCTCGAACACCTGGCATCCCCCGCGAAACGGTTCTCATTCGCGCTTGAATATGTATCACCCATAAGTGAACATCATGATTCAGTTCATCTGGATGAGAAGACAAAAATGCCGAAGACCTCAGCTGTGTGGGAGCACTTTAATTAAATGAGGACAAGACAAACGCAGTGTGCCAAATATGCGATTTGAAACAGGCCTACCACAACAACACATCAAGTTTGAAAAATCACCTGAGTTCTGTAAGTATTACGCCTATAGTATAGTGCTGGGCGGTTTACCGGTTCATACCGAATACCGGTGTTTATTTTTGTTATGATATGAATTTTTAAAATACTGCAATACCGGTGTATGTCGCTTAAACAACGTTCGGAACGCGACACTGTTTGAAAGGGGGTCCCTTTTCACTGTTGCACTGTCGTGAGGGAACAGCTGTATGTGTTACTAAGCGTGAAAGTTCCGAAACTGAAGCTGTAGAACTAATAGAACGTGATGACACAGAAGAACTCATCCACAATATCCACATTGACCGCCACAAATATCCACCGCCCCCTGCCATCAGCTCCCGCGTCTCACACACACAAGCGCGACTTTAGCACTAGATTTAGCAACTTTCAGACCCTTTTAGCGCTTTTTTCCATAGAATATTCATACTAACAAACCTAGCGACTTTTTGGGATAAACCTTAGCTATGGTTCAGTTGGAAGATTTCGCCAGTGCTGTCCCGCGAACGCGAGGTCTGACTTTCCCGGAGAAGTGTCACCTCTCTCGGCGTCTGTTCTGTGCAGTGAGCGGCAGAGAAGCACCGCAGCCGACTCGTCAATAAATGAGTACAAAACAGCGTTTCCTAGCACCTGTCACTTACTGATTGTTTGGAATTATAAATATGAGCATAGTTCGTCTATTAATATAATGCAA